AGTGCTCAAATCAGTTCAGCAGTTTAATTACCTAGGTAGCCTCATCTCCTTGGATGGTAAGATTGATGGAGAGAGAGACAACAGATTAGGAAAGGCATATAGTGCTTTTGCAAAGCTTCATAAAAGAGTTTGGTGAAATAAACACTTGAAGAAAAGTACAAAGATCAGTGTTCACAGAGCCATTGTGCTGTCTACTCTCTTATATGGATCTGAATCATAGGTCATCTACCGCCACCACCTGCGACTCCTAGAATGCTTCCATCAACGCTGCCTCCATACAATCCTAAACATTCACTGGTCAGATTATGTGACTAATGCGTCTGTTCTAGAACAAGCAGCAATCACAAGTATTGAGACCATGTTACTGAGAACACAGCTGTTCTGGGCAGGGCATGTTTCAAGGATGAAGGACCACCACTTCCCTAAGATCTTGCTTCATGGTGAACTTGCCACCGACTGTCGCATGAGAGGAGCCCCGAAGAGAAGATACAAGGACTCCCTGAAACAACATCTCAGCCTTGGCCATACTAATCAACATAACTGGTCTACTCTGGCCTCAAATTGGGAGGTCTGGAGACACGCCATCTATAACGCTGCTGATGCCTTTGAGAACACACGCAGGATCACTTTCGAGGAGAAAAGAACGCAGAAAGAATCGTGTCTTGCAGAATATACCACCTAAGGAGTTTTTCTGCTGTGCCTTTTGCAGCCGGACGTGTCTATCTCGTATTGGCCTTTTTAGCCACCAGCGCGCTTGTAACAAACGCGGGTAGAGCCCTTCCCAAATCTTCGTTCGCGAAGCCCAGCCATGATGACTCTTCCTTAAAATAAGTTTTTGAAGACTTTGGGTGATGATGAGAAAACAGTGATAACTGGGTTAAAAAGACAGTTGATGGTGCCAACTTCAATTAGGTGTTTCTTAGCACAGCTCACTTTTAGACTTTTTTTGCTGTGGCTTATAATCTTGGTTATAACTTTTCTGTTAGGAGTTTTCCTTGAGGCATCTTTGCTTCAAACTATTGTGTCTTGACTGAATAATCTAACAGCTTTATCCATGAATATAGCTAGCAAATACATAATTTACCTAAGCTAGATATGCAGGCAACATTGTCGTATATGTTGCAACATATCCACCTTCGATGTTTAAATCTCTTAACACCAAAGGTGTAAGTTATAGCTACAAGTTATGTAATTTCTGGAAGAAGTCAATTGCCACTCTGTCACACTAAGTTTTATGAGTTTATAAGTTTTGTATATGCTAAATGTGTTATGGTGTCCTAGTAACTTAAATCTGTAGGGAGTGCTCCCTCACTATATGTATCTTTAGTTCTCTGAGCTCCCAATGATGACCAAATTCTGCATGCAACATCCCAGTAGAGTAGGTGAAAATATTCTGCTTTCATTTGTTTTTACATGTTGGTACAGTAAATCTGACCGAGGGCACTGTGAGATGTAAGATTGCTCACACAACTGACTGGGGAAATAACTTTGTGTGCTCATATCCTTGATTTTATTTTTTCTTCTTTTTTTTTTTTTCACGGTATAGGTTGAACTTAGTGTTATACAGTTGAAGTGGTGAAACACTGTAACAATAACACAATGAAATTAATCCCTCAGACTTTTCTCTTGTCAGAGCATAGTTGGTGTTGTATTTATTAAAGGAGTTACATAAATAAACCTTGATCAATGAGGAAAAACTAAATATAAAGTGGCTGCTCTCTGTCTTGAATAGAAAGTGTCTTGGAAAAAAATATGTGTTCTTGTCTAATAAAGTGGTCTGTAACAAAGCTTCAGTACAGTGAGAAGATCAACAGACTTTCATTTCACCAGCTTTTTGTAATCAGAGTTCTTTGGTTAAATATTCTACAATTCTCTACAACACCACAAAGTAAGAATAGTTGTGGTTGCTGCCGTCAAATAGAAGTATTTAAGTCAGCATGTTTGTGTTATAGGGTTTGTCTTTTTAGTTGTTTTTTCTTTTTATGTGATTACAATATGGTTGTAACTCTTCTTAAACTGCCTCTTCCACTTTTACTTGACGTTTGCACCTTGTGTTTTCAGACTGGATTGACTATTTTGTTCATAATTTGGGGAAAAAAAATTATACTAGCACAATGTTAATGTACATCTCTTTCCAAACGTGGCAATGGGTATCCTGTACATCATCAGAAAGATGGTGAAAGGAAGGGAGATTGATGTATCCAAAAAATTGTGCATTCAGCTACACACAGATAAAGCAAGTGGCCCATCTGTCATTATGCAGATATTTCTGACCTGGACAATAAGGAAACAACTGTTGGCCACCAGGCTTCTGCTAACAGGTCTGTGTGGGTAGTGCTGCTCTTGTTGTTGCATGGTTGGACATTAGGAAGAAATTTTTTACAGGGACAGTAATCAGACATTGGAATGGGCTGCCCAGGGAGGTGGTGGATTCACCATCCCTGGAGGTTTTTAAGATGAGACTGGATGTGGCACTTAGTGCCATGGTCTAGTAACCACGGTGAGGTTGGATCAAGGGTTGGACTTGATGATCTCAGAGGTCTTTTCTAACCTGGCTCATTCTACGATTCTATGATCTGAATTATCTTTGTTTCAAAAACTCGCTGCCTTGCCAGAATGTATGACTGCAAAGCCCATCACAATGAAAAGTAAAGTTGGACAGTCTGTGGGCCAGCTGAACTCCAGAGATGAGTTGACATTCCCAGTTGAACTAGAACACTACATATCTTCAAGAAGCAGTATGTAGAGCCATCTCACAGAAAACTGAAATAAGACCCAACAGAGGTAGATTTATACTGATACTGCTCCTTACCTTAGGAACCTTTGGTACCTCAGTACCAAAGTACTGAATATCTTCAGGTTAGGCTTAGAAGCAAAAATCTGTGCTCTGTGAGGAGAAAATAAGATCTGTTTAAGTTTCATGAAAGGCCTATGAGGACATGATTGGTTCTAATTGGCTCTCATTGGAGGACTGACATGGTCTACCTGCAGCCAAATGGCTCTTAGAGAGACAAAGAAGTAATTTGTCTTCATAAATAGTGAAGAACTCTCCTCCAAGCTTGTTTTTGCTGCTGAAGGGCCTGGTAACCAGTACAAAGAAAAGGAGGATAACTTGCAATTCGAGTGACAGTAATTTTAAAAAGTGGGGTTTAATCTGTGAAGCCATCAACAATGAGTAAATCTTGTTTTGCTTAGCATTTTGCTGTGCCTAGTTTTGGTCTGTAATGCGAATACACATGGAATTTATAGAACAAACTGAAGGAGTATATTTGTAGCATAGTTGTAGGGGGCTGTTGGTGTACCTGTGCGCAGGGGGAAGACATAGATAATTCGCTACCTGGTCATCTCCAGCTGTCTGACCATAAGGTTACAGATACAGTTGGGGATTTGTTTAAACAAACAAAGCCCCTTTCTATACATCTTGCAATACTCATGAACCCTGTATCTGGAGTTCAAAGGTCAATGAGGAGATGGAGTTCAGTCTGTAAAATTAGTCTTTCTGAAACTGAAATATGTGCACAGTTCCAGAACGCCAATGTGCTCTTTTGTTAATTCTGGATTATGAGCGAAATTTCCTGTCTAACCCTGATTTCAGACACATTTGTGTGAATTTTCTGAAGGCATTTTCTGTTGGATATGCACAGGCCTGGAAGGAAGGAAACATAATTCATTTTTCACTCTGTTATTGAGTCAGCCGTTCACAAATCATTTCAGTCCTGTGTGGCTGAGTTTCTGATGTCTGCTTTGGTAATGAGTTCTGAGATGTCCAGAGGAAGCCTCTTTAGCAAGGAGGAAGTGTATCAATTATTTCTGCTAATGTGTAGCATTTATTTGGAATTCAGATCATAAAGAGCTTTAGTGAAGCTGCAGCTTTGTAGGCAAGTGTAGAAGTTACCCATATATGATTCCTCTTTCTGTATCTAACTACATTTACTCTGCTCATGATTGCTTGATACATGCTTCTGGTTGGTGTGGTGGTAAAAAAAATCATCAGTTGTATTTTCACTCAGATTAGAAAATGTACCCAGTAATTACCTGTACTTTCTACCAGTATTTCATCCTTGTTGCAGTAATGGAAGCTGGTTATTTTTGCTTACTGTTATGTAACCATTGTAATAGTGCTTAGAAAATGAGTTTCACTAAGTGGCTGAAGCATTGAGAAATGTTGTTCCTGGTCTGCTTGTAGATTTGGGACTGGGACAGGAATTTCAGATATATTTTCCAAGAAGCTCAGGGGCTAATTTTATAACTACTGAGTTATAAAATCTTGCTCCTAACTTGGTGTTGAGTACAAGTCAGAATGTGAACTCCAAATGCTTTTGCTTCTCAGCTTCCTTGTCTGCGACAACAATTCCTCACTTGCGTGTCTGTCTTCCTCAGCTCAGATGGCCCTCATGAATGTGGGAGGACAGTGTTCAGCTTGGGAGAGGTTTGGTGTTGTCCTTAAAAACAAGGGCAAGGAACAAATTCCCAGGCTTACTGTAAAGACAAACAGTGTTGTAAATATGTGGATTAAATATTCAAAAATCTTAGGAAGTGTTGAGAAAAGGATAGGCTTCTACTGTGTGTGAATAGTCTTCAGCTGAAGGCAAGTCCAACCTCAAGGGGAACTGCCAAATATTTCCTTTAAATCCCCTTATAAGGTTGAATCCTACGCATTTGAAACAGAAGGGGCTTGTTGTTTTCCGCCCCCCTGAAAGGCAGTGTCCTGTCCAGCATTGTCTGGGATATTAGCACTAATGAAATAATTCATTCCTGATAAGCCATCTTGATAAGTTTGGATAAACTCTTAATTTATCTTTATCTTAAATGTTGCTTGTCTTTATTTAGGATCTAATAACGTACTTCATCAGGCCTGCCAGCAGGAGGCATTAATTGCACTCCTGTAACTAGGGAAGGCATGCGCTTGCTTAAATTGTTCCTCATGGAAGTCAAAGCATTACCGCCAGAGTTGGCAAATAAGTAACTAATACATTTTTCTTTGGTTTTGTATTTTTTAGCTGGTGCCACATATATATTTGGGAAGAGTGGAGGTCTCATCCTGTACACCTGGCCAGCTAATGATAGACCAAGCACAAGGACAGACCGTCTTGCTGTGGGCTTCAGCACAACCGTGAAGGATGGCATCCTTGTTCGGATTGACAGTGCCCCTGGGCTTGGTGATTTTCTACAGCTGCACATAGTGAGTATTGATAGGCCCATGTCTATGCCAGACCTGGGTTTCTGTTACCTGAATTTGAAGAAAACTATTACTCTAAAATAACATGTCATATTCTGTTCTTTCTATGTCTTCAGCACTTGTCAAATTAAACTGCCTTTAGTAGTTATTTAGGGTTTTGTAGAATTACCAACTGAGATGCACAGGGAACCAAGTCTTGATGCCAGAAGAAATTGGAGAGGGAAGAAACAAACAAAACAAAACTCAAAAGCCTTAGGTGATTCAATTAGCAGTAGGATTTATTTAAAAATTTAGGAAATGTTTTGCATCAGTGTTAATCTACTGTGGCATATGCACAGTCCTGAATACAGCTGAATTTCTGGTGAAGTATTACTATTCTTGGAAGGCAAAGAATAAAAGGGAGTGATAGGGTGTTGTTTTTTTCCACACTAAGAAAGTTAAGTGAGAACTGAACAGATCCTCAAGCTGATACAGCTGATGCTTGCTTTAGCAGGATAGTTCAAAAGAATAAGAATTTGGTGTTAGTGCAACATGGCTTTGCAAAAAGAGACGAGACTTTCTTGTGAGAGCTTGAGTGAAGGTGGCTTTAGAGAGAGTTGAATTATTTGAGAAAATAAGAACACTACAACTGGAAACTTTTGGAGTTTGTTACTTTACATGATGCTTTGGGAGGAGAAGCTTTGTCTTCCTTTGAAAAATAGCCAAGAGGTTTACTGGAGGTAGAAGCTGGTCATGTGACTTGATATTCGCTTATTTCCCCTGTTTTATGCATTAATTTATAGTGGAAAGGGGCCATTTGCAAGTTTTGAATGAGCTGGGGAGTTGTTAACATTTCATGGAACCTTGAAGGTATAAGTAAACAGGAGGAATGCCAGGGGCCAAAACAGACCAAATGTGAATGACAAAGGGCCTTATTCTGCTGCTGGAGTTTGCCACGTTCAGAATTGTATTGAAGCACTGGGTATATTGCAGGATTGTTCTGAAACAACCAGAAACAAGAGTCAGGAGCAGTAGTTATTGCCAGCATTTAAAGTGGTTTTATTTTGAATCCTATTGTAAAATTCAGATTCATTGGAATGGGTTAGCATATGGCCTTGAGCCATTAGACTGTCACCAATTCTGGTTTCTATCTTTTGTGATATATTCAAATATTTAGTTTGAGTTTTGTGCTAGAATGAAAATGAGATCAAATCCTGGTGTATTTTTTAATAGAAAAACACTTTTTCCTGCTTTCTTAAAAGAAAAACAAAACGAACCCCAGAAGAGTTGGTAAAAGTGAACAGCCCTAAACATAATTGGTTGGAATTCTGTGACTCACATTAAGCAAAAGTGACTGGATATGTCTGAGTGAGACAATGTATATTCTTCAGATGTTATAATACAACATGTGTAAAATGCTGTCAATTAACTGGAGAACAGTATTCCTGGCATGTGAGGAGAGGTGCAGAGATATAAATTTGTTAAGGTCTTAGAAAAAGCCTGAGATGGGATCATGTCGCTTAGTGGGATATTATAGAGAAAATGAAAGTCAGGCTCTTCTTTGTGGTAGTCAGTGAAAGGAAGAGAGGAAACAGACACAAGTACCAAAAAAGAAATTTTAATCCTGCATGAAGATAAGAATTTGAAAAAGGAGGCTTTTCAGCATTAATGATGAAGGCATAGAGTTTTTCTCTATATCTTGGTCTCAATTATCTGCCGTTCTCTATCCCTAAGTGAACATTGTAATAAGTGATTTTAAAAAAAAAAAATTATAACAAATTTTGCTGAATAGATTGGAACAAGCAAATTGAACCTGAGAAACAAAACAAAACCAAAACAAAACAAAATTGCTTTCTCTTTCCTATCAGTTTTGGAAGTTTTTCTGCTTCCTCCTCATGTATTTTTTTCAAACTACTCTGCATGGCATGGTGCTAGTTTCAGATTATTTCAACTACCTAAATAAAGTCTACTGATTGTGGTTGATATTAATTCTGTTCTGTTAAGGTTCTGTTGAATGCCTCCTTTGTAGTTTGGCCAATTTTATACCTGAAGGTGTTCACTAGTGGTAAATCTAGAACTAGTTCGGGTATAATTTCTCTTATTCTTTTGTGGCTAGGATGGATTAGGATGATTTGCCAGTCATTCATGAGGAATGCTCCTGTGCTCTTCTGGATATGGTATCAGTTCATCACATATATCAGTAACTCTACCTACCTGTTCATATAAAGAATGTGGTCTGAGACTCACGCTGCTACATGCAATAGAAAAGTTGCATAGAAACTTTTAAAGTGTTATTGACTTCTTGAATGTCTGTAAGACCTTTTCTCTGGTTTATTGTTCAGCATTGTAGAAGTGAGCTTACATCAGGGTTATTTTGGAAAAAGTTGAAATCTGAAATTAAAGGTACATCTTTAAATGAGACTTAAAATGCAAAACCATTTAGGACCTCTTACTTAGCAAATTGCATGCAAGCTTTCCACAAGATCAAGATCTTTTGTAACTGACTCAAAACTACCACAGGCTTTGCACTGTCGTCTTCAAGGACTCTGTCTATCTTTCTTCAAAGCCTTCCATTAGGTGACTGTCACTTGTCAAGAGAAACAAAGCAGCATGGATCAAATTATAATACAAATATGGGATAAATAGATTTGTAAATCTGAGGTATTAAGCAGATTAAATTGATAATAAAGCAAAGGTTTTAAAACCAAATACTTAAACCATAATGCAAATTATAGGAGAAAGAGAAAATAGGTATTAAAACAGGAAGTCTAATTTTAATATAATTTATTATATGTATATTTAGCAATTTGACTTTTTCAGGAGCAATTATATTTAATAATAATAGTAATAATGAAAGTGACAGGAATTTTCCTGGAGGATTGTTGGGGAGACCTCTTCTGAGGCCTTTCTAGATATTCCACTCACAGACTATATTTTGGATGCTATTTACTGGATTTTGACCTCCTTACACTTCTCTGGGTGTTCTATTGGTGATAACAAGTGACGAAAGCCACCTGATGATCATTGTTTTCTAATATGCATCACTAAAATAAAACTAATCCAAATGTCATAGTATAGACTATGGCTTATCAAGATCTGATTCTATTTGAAAGATTCTAAAAGTTGCTTATACTCTGCTAAGGAAACTTTTAAATAGTTTGTCTGCTTTTTTAATATGTTGTATGTAAAGTTACATATTTACTTGTTTAATTTACAGTTATTCTGTTTGGGTTCATTTTTTAATTATGAGTCTTTCAGATACTGTGAAAATTTATTGACTAAGATGTCTATTTTATATGACAAAAAATTATAGCCTCTGAAACTATTTTCTCTCCTGATTTATAATGAAGTATAAAGGGGCAGCCCTGTAAAAATGGATAGCATACCATCCAGATTAATGTTGCCTATGAAGCATGAGGTGTTTGTGTGATTAGACTGTAGCATATGTAATGGGAGTGTTGCTGGAGCATCAGCTCCCTCCTTATGATATTTTTTTTGCTTTCCTTACAACTCATTCAAAGTACCAAGTCCAAACCTGGGTCAGGAAATTGTCTTCCACAATGGATACTTAAAAGACTGTACGTCTGAGTTGTGGTTGTATGTTTCTATATGTTCATTCACCCTACCCTACCACATCACTTTTTTATGCTTTACAACATGCAAAACATAGAGATCAAATGAAGAGAGGAAAACAGCTGCAGGTGATGATGGGTATCATTCTTGTGATGACTGTGGAGAGAGAAATCACTCTTTCATGTGTGAGGCTGGTTTAGTCTGCATTCTTTCATTTTGTTCTGTACAATAAACAATAGAGGCATCTAGCCTCTGGATGTTCAGAATGGTGGTGTGAGACTGGTCCGGTTTCTGAACTCCTTGTAAGAAGTAAACTCTAGGTTTGCGCAAAAATGTTTGTGATTTTGTGAGGAGTTTTACTTTAGCAGACCCAGGCTAGTGGAGATATATCACATGGCACCAGGCTACAACTGAAAGCTGCAGAATTTGATGTAGATCATTTGATTCTTAAGCAATAAGTGTGGAAAAAGTAAGCCTTCCTTAGTTAGAGATGGCATTATTAAAGGCGAATGAGTGTAAATGGAGGAAAATGTGTGTGTACGTTCAGCCAATTTATTTTTTTTTTTCAGTTATACTGTGATTGGCCAAAATCTGTGTTTGGATTTTACAGTTTTAGAGACAATTCTGGCTCCTCTGTATGAAGTTTCCTGGAGACTCCTTTCAAAACTCAGTGGCATGTCATCTGAGCAGATACAGAAGAAGCAAATGATTTAGAATCAGGAGAAGGATAGACAAAGGGTTATCCTTACCATAACCACAGGGTGTATGATGAACAGCATAACTTAAGAGCTACTCTGAGATAATAACTGGAGGCAAAAAGTAATAGAGTTTGTTTTACTTTTCTATAACCAAAATTTCTTCGCTGCAAAATATTTCAGCCTTTCTTAGGCCAAATTCAGACTGAGTGTTAATAGTTACACTTTTATACCTAAGAAAGTAGAAAGAAGAGGTTTTCCTTAAGGCTAGCCTGCTTTATTTTGCAAAGGCTATAGACTGTGAAAAAAAGTGGGTGATCTGCCTCAGTCTCCTATCTTGTGTTTTTCTTTTTTTTTTTTTAGCTGCCCTTACTGGTGTTACAGTTACAGTTTTCTTTTAAAGTGTTTCACTATGTTAGACCATCTTTTTTATAGAACTCTTAGTTTGTTCAAGTGTAATTTTTTGTGATTATAAGTAATTTTACTCCACTGTATCTTGACTGTGTTTACATTGATGTCTCTTTGGAATAGCACTGTTATTCTCGCCTTTCCAGGCTTTAAAGCAGTGTGGAATAAGTTTTTGATACAGTTTGATAGAGTTCTTGGAGTGTACAAGAAGTGGTTAAGCATCCCGTAAGCAGTTATCAGTTCCAAAGTGTTTAGTGCCCATCGTGCCTCATTTCATTCATGAAACAGCAAAGAGCAGTGTACATTTCTCCTAGTTTCGTTTATACAAATTATGAGCCCCTACAGATT